TCTGGACATGATGATGTCGTGGCAGCGAATGAACGAGAGTGATTTGAGAGTAAGATGATGCGCATGCTGACCGCGATGGAAAGCGGGGGAAGGATGCCCCCCAGCAGATTACCTTGGATGTCTCCAGTCTTCGCTCGCTGCTGAGGGAACAAAGTGATGAGCTCCTTGGCAGACAGAAGGGGCAGTTGGACATGGCCTTGGCAGAGATGGAAGCTCGAACCATGACTAAGGTCGTCGAGGTCCAGGAGAGGGTTGGAGGGTTGGAAGCAAAGCATGCGGACTTTGAATCCAAGCTTGAGGTGCTTGAGAAGGGCCTGCAGGACTTGACAAACCTTGTCAAGAGTGGGGCTGGCAATGGTGCTCGTGGTGATGGCGGAGACACAGAAGAACGGCGCAAACACACCCTGGTGGTGGGTGGGTGGCCGAAAGATTCTCGACGAAAGGTCATACTCAAAGACCTTTCTGAAGCACTACAAGCACTCCGCCTCACAGACCGTATTGATCAGGAGCCGTTTACCACAGGCGCCAGGGGAAAGTGAGTCAGACCACCGAAATCGCATGTTCGGCATTGTCCAGACCTTTGTCGGCTCAGAGGTGTTGACCAAGGAGGGTAAGAAGTTGTGGTGCACCTTTTCTAAAACACCAGAGCAGCGCCTGATTTCTTCCCACGCAGGACTCATCAAGAGGGTGATTGCAGGGTTCAGGGAGATTGATGAGGATCTGCTTGACTTCGAGTACAAGACGGGCACGGTGTGGAGCGAACGGGGTATGATTGGAAGCTCATGCCTGCCATGCCCGCCAGGGACTGACATACGTCAGGTGCAAGTGTTCGAGGAAACGGTACGGAAGCACTGGATCAACTTGGACCTCCTAGCTAAGGTTTGTGGCGCGGGCATTCGGACGGTGGCTCGTGCGGTGGAAGAAAGCAAACGCTGACTTGCGGTCCGGGCGAACGAGCCTTTTTCTGGGAGTCCCCTCACGCCGAATGGCGACTCCGAGGGCCTCTCTGTTTCAGACTTTGTGCATGATGCAGGGTCTCGTCGGGCTACCGGTACAGAGGCTGATCGAGACACTATCTTTGAATTTAAGATCTTTGGTTGGAATGTTGGAGGGTGTGACCTTGCAGATCTACAGAAGTACCTTGTGGAGGGCTGCGGAAAGCCCCCGCCGTCTGATGCCTTCCTTGCACTACAGGAGCTGCCTCGAGGAAAAGATGGATGGTCCAAGATGCAATGTGGAGAGTGGAGTGTTGTCAGTTACAGAAGCGAGCACATGTGGAGAGGAGTGGGTATTGGGTTTCGTGCTTCAGAATGGGCAGTTATGAAACGGGTCCATGCAGGCAAAGGGGTCTGGCTACTCATGAGGCACCTGGCTTGTGAAATCAAGGTTTGGGTGGGCACTGCGCACTTTACCCCTGGTTGCACTCTCGCGCAATATGAGACGGAGGTTGAACAAACATTGCTTGGATTGCCTCCGCGATGTGGCCCCGCGGTTTTTCAGTGTGACGCCAATGCTCCTTTCCACTGGGGGACTTGTGATGGTGTTGTGCAAGCCATTGGGAGGGATGCCAAAGCAAACGAACTACAAGGCAGGTTGCAGGAAAAGGGAATGGAAATGACCCCCCCCCCCCCCCGAGAGCCACAGTTTCGCACTCCTACCAGCAGACCTCGGCAACAAGGGCGACAGGGAAACATCATTGACGTCCTGGCATGCAGAGGGCTAGTGAGGGGAACGGTCAGGGTTCATTGTGATTCGTGTTTCGTGCTCGGCACCGACCATGAAATCCTCGAGGGGACCTTCTTTTTGCGACCTCGGCAGAAGCATATGCGCCATTCTACTCGGCCCAGGATTTGGGTGGGGCCTACCTCGACCAGGCTAGCCTTGTCGACCTCGCGCGGAGACATACCAGGCCCAAGCCGGTGTGCGTACAGAGACCCTCCCACAGTTCGTGAGGCGACTAGGCGGGCTAAAATCCGAAGGACAGGGGAAGCTTGGGGTGAAGTCCGTCGCCTTCGTAAACAAGCCAGGCGTGAATGGGAACGTGACCGAATAGCTAGAGCGTCGAAGGGTGATTGGTCGGCCTTCAGGGTGTGCAAGCCACTTGCGGACACGGGCTGGATTGAGGGTTTTGCCGCAGCGCAGACGGGGGATCCACATGGTGCTGTTCATCAACACCTTCAACAAGTTTACAAGGGTTGCCCACCACAAGCACCACAATCACCACCAGTGGGTTCAGTCGCGGCTTTTACGGAAGCCGAGCTGGATGTTGCCCTCCGTCAAATGCTGTCCGGGAAGTCAGTTGGGTGCGATGGGACCAGCAAGGAACTTCTTGAGGGCATTGCAGGGGTCGAAGGGGGAAAGCAGCACCTCCTTGAGTTCCTGAGTCGGGTAACGACGCAGAGCATACCATCGGAGTGGAATACACCCCTCATGGTTCTCCTTCCCAAAACCCAACAGCCGACGTCTCCGAAAGAGCTCCGACCGATCTCTATGGGGTCAGGAGTCTGCAAATTGTTCTCTCGTCTTCTGCTGAATCGATGTTCAGAATTGCTTTCACTTTCTACCCACAGTCAATGCGCTGGTCCTGGAAGGCAAACCTCTGATTATATGTTTACTTCCTGGAGGTTGCTGGAACTGGAACGGGAGTGGCATAGAGGCTTGTGTGTGGCAAAGTTGGATATCGCTAAGGCTTTCGACATGATATCGCGTGAGAAAGTCCTTAAGAAGCTGGAGGAGAGGTTGGGGGATACTGCAGAAATGAGGTGCTGGAGGGGTCTTTTACAGCAGAACGAGGGCATTCTTCAAACTCCATGGGGTACATCTAGGGTTCCTATGCAGCGAGGAATCAAGCAAGGCGCCGTGGAGTCTCCCATTCTCTTCGCCCTTGTGGCGGAAGCCTGCCTGGCTGAGGCCTCCACTAAATTCAATTGGGGGTCAGTGGAACAAGTTTTCCAGGGGCTTGCTCTGCAGGACATGCTGTACACGGATGATTGCCTCATGTGGGGCAGGGGTGCAGAAGGCCTTGAAACTCGGATCCACCAATTTCGCTCGGTCTTGTCGGAATACGGGCTGGGCCTGAATGGAGCAAAATGCCAGTTTTACGTTTCGCCTCATTGGTCTGGTAGATCCCATATCTATATCGGTGGAGTTAAGGTGGAAGCCTCGCCCACCCTGGAAGTGATGGGTATTGGCATGCGGGTGGGTATGAGCCTCTGTGAGCTAATCGGACCTTTGTTGTCGAGAGCCAAGAGCAAGTTCTGGTCCAACAAACACCTTCTTCGTGCAGGGACCCCGCTGAAAGGCCGCCTGCGCCTTATGGAGCGGGTTGTGGGTGGGACTGCGTTATGGTGCTTGGCCTCCTTTGCACCGGATCGCAGTTCACTTGGTCTCATTAATTCCTGCCACCTCCAGTTGGTCATTTGGGCGATGAAATTAGGGAAGCGCTCAGATGAAAGCTGGGAAACATTCCACAAAAGGGCGTATAGAGCTGCGCGTGCTGCACTGCATAACGCCAATCTTGAACGCTGGGGAACCACATGGTTGCGCAGATGGTGGGGTTTTTCTGGACATAGGGCTCGTGGCCTCCTCCGGAGTGCGCCGCCGATCAGTACCCACGTGGACGCGTTCAGGACGTTAGAATGGTGGGAGTATGAACGCAGGAAACGCGATGGCTTGCAGCATACACACCACTATCCACGTCTCATGAACATGGAGCGTGCAATGGACAGGGCAGCAGGAGACAAGTGGAGGGTTGTGGCACAAGACAGACAGAAGTGGAAAGAGAGGGAGAAGATCTTTGTTGACAACCTTGATTTGCAGTGGGCCTCTGGCAGACAGCCTCAGATCCTTAATTGGCAGTAACCGTTAAGTCTTTGGTGGGGTTCGTGCTGTATGTGCATTTGATGACTTACGTCGGAACAGCATCTGCGGCTCGCAGTCCTCCGGGAGGCCTTGCATAGCTTGCTTTTTACATTTGGTCGAACATGTGGTCTGCTTCCTTTAGGATGCTGCTTGCGAACGTGCTTGGGCTACTCGCCCGCTTTCCGAACCGAGGTGCCCCCGACTTCCCGGCATCTTTTCAATTCGAGGGCCGGAGCCTCCCATTGGACCCGCACTTCATTGTGAACACGTGTGCAGCGGCAGCGCACAGACCGGTCCTGAGCTTTGGCCCACAGTCCAATGAGACTTACTTCGTTCAGTACATGAAGATGACACTTGATGCCTCGATCCTCTCCTGGTGGGGATCCGAATCGTGCCACCGTGACATGGAGGCTCGGCAACCAATGCAGCCAAAGGAGTCTGTCCTTTACACGGACCCGCAGCTGTGCTGCTACCTCCTTGACCAGTACCTCAACCTGGGACTCCAGCTGCCCGTGTACCCCCTTGAGCCCCTCTTCTACGCGAACCTGCAGCTGCGCTCCTGCCTCTTCGCCTGGTACCACGACCTCCTGGACTTCTTGGATGTTTCGGACCTGCTGAACTGCAACTACATCCTGTGCTCCCAGCCGATGCTTTTGACCACTTGTGCTGAGAGAGATGAACATGCTAAGGTGATGGTTCCCCTCGAATGCATGGATGAAGGTTATCCCTCTCATCTGTGTGGAACCTTGCAAGCCTCCATGGAGTTCACCGTTCCGGAGGCCCTCTCACTTATGCAGCGCTCGGCTGAGTTAACAGCTGGAGGAGGCTACAGTCCCTCAGGGTCATCGGGCCCCTCCCTTGAACAGGAGGCGCGTGGTTTCCTCCGTACGGTCCGTGAACTGCTCCGTGCACGGAGGTCCGGAGCTCTTCGTGAAGGCGTCTTGGGTGGAGCCCGTCAGGGCCAGGATTCTGGGTTCGACAGGTTTCTGAATGGCCTTCTTCGCACTATCTGGGATGAAACCACTGCTCCAAATGATTCCGTCCTGCTCGCTGACATGGAGTTCGACCGGGAATGGATGCAGGCTGGAGTTGATAAGCTCTGGCAATACTACCTGGACACTCTTCAGCCAGAAGAGCGGGAGGCAGCCACCTCTTCCTCCCGTACGACACGGCCGAAACCCAAAGGCCCCCCCCCCCTCCACAACCGGTTCATCAGCCTGGGGATGTGGAACCGGAGGAGGAAGAAGACGCTGCGAGTGTGATGCAAACTGCGCTGCATGAGGGCGACGAACCGGACAGGAGATGGGGACTGGATGCGCTTGGTATCCGTAACGACATCGCAATGATGCTGCGCAACATGGCTCAGAATGACGAAGTCGGAGAAGCTTGCCATGCAGCCGGTCGATTGTACCGGCACTTCCAACGACCCGACGAGACAAGGACGGGATCGCTCAGGTGGGTGGAAGCGCTGATCCGGCCGGAGTTGGACAAGTACATCTTGAGGGTCAGCCGTCCGAGTGATTACGAACTGGATCCAGATATGGAAGAATGGCTGCAGCGAACCATGAAGGCTATCGATGCCTGTGCTTGGACTAAGGACCGTGGAGTTCTGGAGTTCCGTGAACGACGTAAGAGACGGAGGGCATCCGCATCCCGACCGCCGGGATCGGCATTGGAACCCACGCAAAGTGATCCTGCAGCAGCCTCTTCGACTGATGAGCCCCCTCCCCCTGGGACAACACGTGAACCTTCGGCTGCTTCGTCCTGCACTGTGTCTGCCTCGAACCCGGTCGCGACTCAGGATGTGGACCCTGCTGAGAGAGAAAGGGAAGATGGGGTGGGCGCCCTTGGAGATCAAGGTCCCCGATGCGACGTAATACTGCTTCGGGCAGTTCGAGCGGGCGAGATGGGGGCAGAGATGGTGATGATTGGCGTGATTGGACAGCCGATCGGTCGTGGGAAACCCCTGGGCACTCTTCTAGCAGACGAGATGGCACTGGAAGCTGGGGAGATGCTGGGGATGCCAGACAACGGGGAGACTACCGAAGCAGGGTTACCCGTAGTACACGAGTGTGGAGAAGCCCGTGGTGGTGATCGGTCCTCCCCTTCCTCTTCGTCCAGACCGCCGAGGACGGATCCGCGCAGTGTTATCCCTCGTGCTACCCCAGCAGTGGACCCAGCGGCGCCCGCTCCCTTGTCGGTTCCGGAGGCGGTTGACATGTGGCGGCAGCTGCTCCGGATTGCGGAAGGAGCCAGTATGGGTGAAATGGACCGTTCGGTCCAGAAAGGCCGATACACATTGCCGCGAGATATGGCAGACAACATGGTCGACACCCTCCGAGAGATGGACCAGCATGACCTTGCAATCATGACTTTGGGGTTGGTGGACCTTATCCGAAGGCTCATGGTGGAGTGCTCTCAAGTCCTTGCAAATGCCCGTTCCGATCTTGTTGAGGTCGAGGTGGAGCCAGAGGAGGAAGCTGACCGTAGCTCTCTCGTTCAGACTGGACTCGGAGTGCCAGGTCGCAAAGGGGTGAAGCCTCCTTGCTCTGGAGTACTTGAGGACTTGCAGCTGGAACTCGACCGTCTTCAACGACAAGGTTGGAACATTGACCAACACATAGGGGCTCTCCTGGCAAAGGCGCGCCAACACAGGGTGTCGTGTGGTGGATGCGAACTCCTCGACCTGCTGAACTCCCTGTTGGTGGCGCTCAGATCGGATGCGGCGGAGAGCTCCTCGGATCTCGCGGTGTCCAAGCCCATCTCGGATTGGTTGGCGAAATGGTGGACAAGGGTGCAGCAATGTTTGCCGGGGTCCAGCCATGAAGAAATGGGTGGTGCTACGTTGGTGGACTCACAGTCTGCAGGCTCCCAAACCCAAGGCCAGCCAGAGGACGCATCCTTCTACGCGGAGGCGGAGGCTATCGCGGTGGAGGAGCACGAATACCGCTTGGAACAACGACGCCTGGCAGAGGAGCGAGCCAAGCAAGAAGATGAGCATGAGTCTAGCCTGGAATCATGGGAGTCGGAAATGCAGAGGGTGATGGAAATGTTTGCCCCCTATGAAGCAGCAAAAGAGGCCAAGGCATGGGACAACTGGGCGATGTGGGACTCTATGAATCGTCCTCAAGTTCGAACCAGGGCACATGTTGAAGTTGAGGTTGGTCCGGAAGATGGGTGCCGTGGGGAGTGCAAGAGACTCAAGCTTCCAGTTCCTGAGTGTTGCGGTGACGAGGTGGTTGTCAAGCAGGTCAGGATCCTCCGTGGAGAAAGCTCGCCCGATAGCTCGGCGCCTACGGTGACTGTGCCTGCTACTAAAGAACCTGGCTCTGATCCCTCGTCTGGGTCGCAGCTGGAAGGCGGAGGAATGGCCAGCGACTCGCGGGTCCCCCATGGTCTGGACTTCAACAACTACCTCACGCAGTACCATCGTTGGTGCCGCGGAGAGATTGGGGATGCCTACATCACACAGATGTGGGGGGAAGGCACTCTTGACCTTATGCGAGCTCAAGAAGACCTGGAACTACTTGAACAAGATCCACGAGCCGGTGAAGTACCACAAGCAGGGCAAGAGGGTGAAGGAGCTGGTCTACTACCTGAAGGGAGTCACGGGGTCAGGGATGAAGCAGGGTGTACACAGCTGGACGGCGAAGATCGTGATGATGCAAGGGATGATCCAATCGAGAAGGAGATCTAGTTCCGTCCTTGCTGAGCTCTAGATGTGAACCGCCAGGGTCGCCAAGGGTGTCGCCTGAATGTACTGAGAGGGTTGCCGTGAACGAGTTGCTTTTTCTCTACAGCTTACTGCCTAAAAGTGGGCAATGAGCCTGCCCAATAGGGTTGAGACGCTTTGCACTTGCTCTGCAGTCATCAAAAAGCCTTCAAAAAAAACCTAGTTATAGCTGTTATACCTCCCTAGAAGTAGCCAAGGATCCTAAACCCTAAACCCTCGGTGTAGGTGTTATACCTCCCTACAAGTAGCCAAGGATCCGGAACCCTAAACCGTAGTTACAGCTGTTCTACCTCTCTACAAGTAGCCACGGATCCTAAACCCTAAACCCTAGTTGTAGCTGTTATACCTCCCTACAAGTAGCCAAGGATCCTAAACCCTAAACCCTAGTTGTAGCTGTTCTACCTCCCTACAAGTAGCCACGGATCCTAAACCCGAAACCCTACATATAGCTGTTATACCTCCCTACAAGTAGCCACGGATCCTAAACCCTAAACCCTAGTTGTAGCTGTTCTACCTCCCTACAAGTAGCCAAGGATCCTAAACCCTAAATCCTAGTTATAGCTGTTATTCCTCCCTACAAGTAGCCAAGGATCCTAAACCCTAAACCCTAAACCCTAAACCCTAGTTATAGCTGTTATACCTCCCTAGAAGTAGCCAAGGATCCTACACCCTAAACCCTAGTTATACCTGTTATACCTCCCTACAACAAGTAGCCAAGGATCCAAAACCCCCCAAACCCTAGTTATAGCTGTTCTACCTCCCTACAAGTAGCCACGGATCCTAAACCCTAAACCCTAGCTGTAGCTGTTATACATCCCTACAAGTAGCCAAGGATCCTAAACCCTAAGCCCTAGTTATAGCTGTTATACCTCCCTACAAGTAGCCACGGATCCTAAACCCTAAACCCTAGTTATAGCTGCTCTATCCCCCTACAAGTAGCCAAGGATCCTAAACCCTAAACCCTAGTTATAGCTGTTCTACCTCCCTACAAGTAGCCACGGATCCTAAACCCTAAACCCTAACTGTAGCTGTTATACGTCCCTACAAGTAGCCAAGGATCCTAAACCCTAAACCCTAGTTGTAGCTGTTATACCTCCCTACAAGTAGCCACGGAACCTAAACCCTAAACCCTAGTTATAGCTGTTCTATCCCCCTACAAGTAGCCAAGGATCCTAAACCCTAAACCCTACTTATAGCTGTTCTACCTCCCTACAAGTAGCCAAGGATCCTAAACCTTAAACCCTAGTCATAGCTGTTATACCTCCCTACAAGTAATGTAGGGGCCTCAATAATTAGAATAGGGTTTTGGGGGTTCCTTTTTATAATTCTAGTATATTGGACCCGCAAACCCTATTCTAATTAATTATTAAGGCCCCCTATAGTAGCCAAGGATCCTACTGGCCATGGTCTTCGCGCGGCAGCAAGGGAGTCGGAACGAAAGCCTCGCCGGGCGCGCCTTCGCAGTTTCCGAAGGATTGAGTCCAATAATAATGTAATAGAACATATTATAGCATATTATAGTAGAAAATAGAATAGTATAGTATAGTGTAGTATAGTATAGTATAGTATAGTATAGTATAGTATAGTATAGTATAGTATAATCGAATATCATACTACATCCGAATCGCTCAACCTCATGGTGCTGAAGCTCTAAAAGCTCGTACTTGCTTCGGCAGGCCCGGAGCGTTTGTGACTCCAACACCGGAATTCTAGACTCCAAACCTAAACTATCAGATCAGTGTAAGTGATATCCTAGATCTCGGAGCCAGTGAGCACAGGACATTCCAGTGCCGGAGTTCTGATAACCACTGGAATGGTAAGCTCACTTCACGGCGCGCCATGATCACGTTTCTGGTCTTACAGTCACTTGAAAAACAGCTTTGTTGGCGAGGGCGCGTCTCGTGAGAACTTTCACACCTAAAAGACTGCAGACACCAATCACAGCAAAAGCGGAGCCGGACCATGAGGGACAGATCGTTCCACATACGCGCCAGAATCCTTTATGTAGTGTCCTACCATGCATCTCATACCCGCGTCATCTTTGCATGTATGTTTCTTGCATGCACTTTATGTGCACACGGATTTACACCCATTCATAAACACACAGACCTACGTACATATGGACCACGCGTACATGCGTATGGCCGGGTGTGGGTGTGTGCTTTGCAGGTAAAACAGGCATGTATGCATGTAAGTATGTTTTCCTCGGTAGACAGGCAGGTAGGTCGCTAGGTAGGCAGGTAGGCAGGCAGGCAGGCGGGTGTGTATGTATGTATCTATGTATGTATGTATGTATGTATGTATGTATGTATGTATGTGTGCATGTATGTATGCAAGTATGTATGCATGAATGTATGTGTTTATATACAAATACACTTTGAACGTGTAGATGTGTACTGACGAGCTTATGTACATGCGTGCATACGTGCGTGCAGGCAGACACAGACAGACAGACAGACACAGACAGACAGACAGACAGACAGACAGACAGACAGACAGACAGACAGACATACTGCATGTGTATAGTATGTATGTGTGTATATGTATATGTATATATATATATAGGGAGAGAGAATATCTAAACTCAAATACACATACAGTCATAAATACACATACAGGCGTAAATACAACCATAAATATGTAGTTTTGGTATATACATGTATATATATATATATATTTATATACACACATACAAGCATGTATGTATGTGTGTACTCATCAGCTCGATCTTGATCTGCATACATGCCTTTAGCCCGACGTTTTGCTGCTATCGTATGATAGGACTTATCGGCAAGCGCATGTATACATCACTCTCGAGATTGGCTGTTTGCTTTCCAGAACATCTTCCACCCGACGATAGCTAATGCGAGTAAGCACTTAATTCAGGATGATTCAGGCTTGTTTGTGTGCAAGTCGAAACCGGGTTAGGGGCTCTGGGTTGTCCGTTTGTTTCTTCTCTCGGAGCAAAGCTCGCCACGAGAGCTGCTTGTTCTCGGCCAGGCTGGTTGCTACAGTGCTGGCGGGATCGGTCTCGCTGCTGCGTCATCGACGAGCACTTTTCGAGGAATCAGGGTTTAAGGTTTAGGGTTGTTCATGAATCCGACAGTAACCTGTCCTTAGGCTCTAAACTCCTCAGCCCTCCCAGGATGCAATAGTTTGCAAACTAGCTCGCCGCGGGCTTAGCCAGGTGTCCCTAAGTTGTCACACCTTGGTAAGCTACCGCAGGGGTGTTCGGAAACCAGGTTTATGTGGAATGGGTTCTTAACCCACACCTGCCAGCAAAAGTCAAGAAAGTGCAGATATGCTTGTGAAAATGACTTTGAGGGACCATGTAGCCTTGAAACTTAGGGCGTCGCTCGTTTTAGCTACACAGCTCCTGAATGTCGTTCTCAGAGCATCTCAGAGGCGTGGTTGCGCTGTTTTGACTTTTGCTGGCAGCATGGTTTCAAAGCCCAGTTTTTCCTCATGATCCTGGCTTCCCCGAACCCGAGCACTGTCTTGACTTTTGCTGGCAGGCTTTGGGTTCAAAGCCCAAAGCCCATTCTTGAGACAAAGGGCGGCGGCAGAACGAAATCAGCCTTACCCCCCACCCCACCCCCCACCCCCCTTCCCCAAGTAAAGTGAAGTAAAGTCCGATCCTGGCTGCGCCTAGAATCGACAGCGAAAGCCACCAAACCGCAAAACCTGCACAAAAGCGCGCAGTAACTAACTTACGTGTCAGGCCCTATAAGTCCCTAAGTAGTTTTGACGTCTGTTCGGCTTGCACGTGAAAGTCGTTTCTTCGAGTTGGACACATGACCTGCGTTGCCCGGCTTGGGAACAAGAGGCTACTACTTTACGTAGTGATGATTGCAACGAGCCCGGAATGCAGCGGCAGAGATATTGGGGATTTGAAGCTGGAGGATTATCTGAGGCCGGGGGCTTTTGTTTTTGAATCCATCATTGACGCATTGAGGAAGCTTTCGTGCACTTCGATGATGTGACGATGGAGTTGGTTTCCGACTGAGCCGACGGTCAAAAGCAACCGCCTGAAAGAGAGCGTCAAACAAGACTGACTAGAACAAGACTCCAAGCCCTAAACCCAAAGTCAGCGGACGTAATCGGGTCACCGCCTTGTTTCACCAGTGGCAAAGGGCCACCTCGGCTTTGACAATGTTCGGGCCGCGCTAGACACCAAATCTTGCCACCCATTGCAGGAAAAAAACACTAGTAACGACCGTGTGGTTTGACGGGCACTGGGTTGACGTGTCTTGAGCTCCTTGCCCTTCCGGTCCTGAACGGGTCTTTCTCATTTTGTCACGGACACAAGTCTTAGACGCCCTTGCCGGCGAAGCCTTTACCAGAGTTTTGGCTGTCAAGCTCAATGGGGTGAGGGTTTGGGGTTTACCCTCAACCCTAAACTTATGGGAGGAGATCAGACCGTCGCTGGGTGTTTGTACTCTAATCCTGCATCGGCGAGGTGGTGTCACAGCAAGGCTATGCATGCATCAACTTGTCCTGATCGCTGCCTGACGGAAATAGTCCTAGTCCTACTTCCTATTGCTGAGCCCGACTCGTACCACTGCACCTGCTGCTGCTGCTGCTGCTTCTGCTTCTGCTTCTGCTTCTGCTTCTGCTTCTGCTTCTGCTGCTACTCCTACTCCTACTCCTACTCCTACTCCTACTCCTACTCCTGCTCCTGCTCCTACTCCTACTCCTGCTCCTACTCCTACTACTACTGCTACTGCTACTGCTACGGCTACTACTACTACTACTGCTGCTGCTGCTGCTGTTGCTGCTCCTCCTACTACTACTACTATTACTACTACTACTACTGCTACTACCACTACTACCACTACTACCACTACTACCACTACTACCACTACTACCACTGCTACCACTACTACCACTACTACACCTACTACTACTACTACTACTACTATTACTACTACTACTACTACTACTACTTCTACTACGACTACGAC